TTTACTTCATCTGCTATTTGTCATTTACAATTTTTAAGGGTTTTCTCTCAATTGGATTTACTGTAGGTTTGTGGTTTTTAATAGGCTTGTTTACAAATGTTTCATTCTTAGATCTATTAATGTTACTTTTTCTATCTTCTAATTCATTTACTTCTGCTTTTATCCTTATTTCTCTTCTAAACTTTTCCTTGAGGATTTCCTTCTTCTAATTTCTTGAATGCTTAGTTCATTTATTTTCTCTCTTTTTAAATAATGAAAGCAAGTAATATACATCCATCAAGTATTGTTATTTTTAAATAGTCTACTAGTGGTTTTACGGGGTGGTTTTTTGTTTGTTTTTGGTAGCTTTGGAAGATAAATAAGAGGTCCCTGGTTGTCATGCACAGGACTGCCTGCTTATGCCTCAATCGTGAGAGCAGAGAGGCTCCATCCAGGTAAAGGAAGGATGTAACTAAGACAAGGACCAGAACCAGGGTTTTACCAGGCTCTGTGACAGCACTAGGAAGCCTCATCCTGTCTGACATCCAACCACTCAGGTTACCACAGCCAAGTGCTCCAAGGCTCTGGCAAGCTGATTGTCTGAAGTGAATGGCTGCCTGAAGCTAGGGACATACCTGAAGAATATTCTGGATTCCTCAGGACCTGGAGGAGGGTTTGTGTTTGGAACCTGGGAGAGAATTTGACACAAGACATTAGATTAGGAGGGAGAAACATGCTGATAATGCACTGCACTGCAGGGGCGGGGCAGAGAATAATTGATCGTTGTCTATTTAAATTTGCTCAGCTGGCTATGAGGATGTGTTACATCACAGTCAAGGGAAGGGGTTGGCTTTCCATCATGTACTTCTAATGGGAAGAAAAGCAGAAGTTATGCTGTTTTTAAATTTATCTCCCAGAGAGGACAGTTGTCTAAGGCTAGTTTACTTGGAAGTCATTTCTGTGTTTCCTAAATGACCCCTCCAGATTTATTTTTTCATTTTTTAAAAGATTTGCTTATTTTAAAGAGTGTGTGAGCTGGGAGACAGCAGAGGAGTAGGGAGAGACAGAGAAGCAGTCACCCTGCTGAGCACGGACCCTGAAATCATAACTTGAGCCAAATCATGAGTTGATGCTTGACTGACTGAGCCATCCAGGTGCCACCCCCAGGTTTATTTGACCACTTATATTTGCCCTATGAAGCACAGTGAAATTGAATCTGATTTTCATCTTCAAAGAGTTACATCCTCTTACAAAATGACTTGTCAGGCAAAGAATTTCAGAAAGGGATATTGATAACATTCCCCAAACAGGGAAATTGTTTGTGGGTTGTGAAGAATAAATGAGGTTTTAAGACAAGTGTCTTTCCTGTTTACACCCATAGTAGATTTTTGTAAAATGTTAAATTTTATAGGTGTGCCTGACTGGTTCAATCTGTAGAGCATGTGACCCTGGGAATTGTAAATTCAAGCCCCATGTTTGCGCAGAGAGATTATTTAAAATCTTTTTTAGGGCAGCCCGGGTGGCTCAGCGGTTTAGCTCCACCTTCAGTCCAGGGCGTGATCCTGGAGACCAGGGATCCAGTCCCACGTCAGGCTCCATGCTCTCTGTGTGTCTCTATGAACAAATAAAATCTTTAAAAAAATGTTTAAAAAATAAAATAAAAATTTGGGATCCCTGGGTGGCGCAGCGGTTTGGCGCCTGCCTTTGGCCCAGGGCGCGATCCTGGAGACCTGGGATCGAATCCCACGTCGGGCTCCCGGTGCATGGAGCCTGCTTCTCCCTCTGCCTGTGTCTCTGCCTCTCTCTCTGTGACTATCATAAATAAATAAGAAACTTTAAAAAAAAATAAAATAAAATAAAAATTTTTTTAAAAAGTTAACTTTTGGGATGCCTGGCAGTTGAGTGTCTGCCTTTGACCCAGGGCTTGATCCTGGAGTCCTGGGATCAAGTCCCACATCAGGCTCCCTGCATGGAGCCTGCTTCTCTCTCTTCCTGTCTCTGCCCCTCTCTCTGTGTCTCTCATGAATAAATAAATAAAATCTTTTTTTTAAAAAAAAGTTAACTTTTGTAGAAGTATATAATGTATAGAAATCAAGTTCTCTTTGAGCTTACCCCAATTGAGAACACATTTAAGATAATTATTCTACAAAAATTTGAGTTTTCCAATTTAAATAATGTATTTTGTATGTTTGAACATTGGTGAGTTTTTTATAGATTTATTTACTTATTTTAGAGCTCAAAAACTGGGGGAAAGGCAGAAGGAGAGAGAATCTCAAGCAGACTCCCCGGTGAGTGCAGAGCCCAAGTGGGCTTGATCTCACCACCCTGAGATCATGACCTGAACAGAAATCAAGAGTCCATTCAACCTGCTGAGTGACCCAGGTGCCCCTTGTGTAAGTATTTCTATATAAATAATTCCAAGAAACTAAGTTGCTGGATCAAGAGGTACAGACATACTAATTTTAAAAAGTCTTGCCTTCCAAAAATATACAACCTAAGAGTGCCTGTATGTTCACATACTTTCCAATAGTGAATATGACCAATCTTTTTATCTTTCGTAATCTGAACAATTTAAGAAAATTTTATTGTTTTAATTTAAATTCTTTATTAGTGAACTTGAATAGTCTCTTTGTGTTCTGTAAATGCTCTGTGTGCTGTAAATGTAAGTTGTCAATTTTTCTATTGGTTTGGCGGTATTTTTCTTATTTTTTTGGGAAGAGGTCTTTGTATATTAGGAAAATCAGTCTTGTGTCTTTAGATGGGTGACATTTCACTCTGAGCTTATAATTTAGTTTTTATTTTCTTCATTTAAAATTTCAAATTTTTATGTCACCAGTTTCATTTATCTTTTTTTTTTTAAAAAGATTTTATTCATTTATTCATGAGAGACACAGAGAGAGAGAGAGGCAGAGACACAGGCAGAGGGAGAAGCAGGCTCCATGCAGGAAGCCTGACATGGGACTGGATCCCAGGTCTCCAGGATCACGCCCTGGACCGAAGGTGGCGCTAAACCGCTGAGCCACCGGGGCTGCCCTTCTTTTTATACGTTTTCAGTTATGTGTCTTTAGGGTTTTATGTCATGATTAGAACCCTCCCCACTCTGAGGTAGCTTCCCAACCTATCTTCCTCCTTCTGTACTTGCCCAGACTTACAAATTTATTTTTAACACAGCGGTCAGAAATTTATTTTCAATACCTGTACCTGAACATGTTACTCCCCTGCTCAGAAACTCTGAATGACTTCCCATCTTGAAGTAAAAAGAAAAAAAAATTTATATATATCCTTGAACTCACCCAAGACCCTCCTATCTCAGAGACCCTCTCTCTACTCCCAACATCCTTTTGTTACCCTAGCTCCAGCCACTCAAGCATCTTTCCTGTGCCTAGAATATTTCAAACACTCTACACTCCAGGCTGTGCCTTTGCTACCCCTCTCCCTGAAATAGCTTCGAACCATGTGAAGTGCATGTTTTCTTCTTCTTTTAATGATAGCATTTGGACAGGTATCATGAACAAGTATCCACGATATCACCCCTGATGATACACCCATTCATCTCCTTCAATATTTGCTCAAATGTCAGTGTACTAGTGAGATTCTTTATGACCACCCTATTTAAAATTGCATTACTTCATTCTCACCCCAAACTTCGTATTTCCTTTATTTCCTCCTTGGCACTAACACTCACCATCTAATACACTACATATTTTTCTTGTTTATTGTCTGCCTCCTTACTTCATACACACAAGCACACATACTAAATTACAAATTCCACGAAAGGGGATCCCTGTGTGGTGCAGCGGTTTGGCGCCTGCCTTTGGCCCAGGGCGCGATCCTGGAGACCCGGGTGCATGGAGCCAGCTTCTCCCTCTGCCTGTGTCTCTGCCTCTCTCTCTCTGTATGACTATCATAAATTTAAAAAAAAAAATAAAAAAAAAAAAACAAATTCCATGAAGGTAAGGGTATTATTTTCCTTTAAACTATAGTTCCAGCTTCCAGAATAATGCCTTGGCATAGGGGCACCTGGGTGGCTCAGTGATTGAGCGTGTCTGCCTTTGGCTCAGGTCGTGATCTCGAGTTCTGGGATCCAGTCCCACACTGGGCTCCCTGCAGGGAGCCTGCTTCTCCCTCTGCCTAAGTCTCTGCCTCTCTCTGTGTGTCTCTCATGAATAAATGAATTTTTAAAAAATCTTTTAAAAAATTGCCTGCCATAGCAGATGAATAATCAGTATTTGGGTAAGAAAGGGAAAGAGGGAGAAAAAAAACCTAAGCCATTTCTAACCCATCAGATTGGCAAAGATCAAAATATGTTATGAGGTTGCACTGACAAAGACAGGTAAACATGAACATCTCTACTAGGTTCTATGATTGGTAATTTGGCACTAACAAAAGTACAATGTCCCTACTCTGTACTCTAGTAATTCTATTTTTGGGAATATATTCTATGTAAATACCCTTACACATGAGAAAGATTTATGTTTACAGTAATTTACTGCAGCAGCGTTTCAAAATAAAGATTGAAAACAACCTATATGGCCATCAGTGAAGTAATTATTAATAAATGATGGCACATATAAAAAATACTACGCAATTGTTTGAAAAGAAAAAAAAAAGGCAGGCTCGAGGCAACCCTCTATGCACCATCTCCAGTATTAGCTGCTGGGAAGGCGGAGGCAAGGCGCGGAGATGCTACCATTTGTGCAGGAGGGAAGGAAGGTGCGTGTGTCCGGAGGAACACGGGAGGTCAACACTACATGCTGGAGAACACGTATTCTTTTTAAATATTGAGCTGTGGTAATATATTAGTTTTCTACACTACGTGTTTAATCAGTAAACCTAAGAAATTCTTGAGAGGGAAAATGTTTTTAAAGAGAACTGAGAGGCGCGGCGCCGGCGCCGGCGCCGCCCCCGCCCAGCTGGGCGGTGTACGTGGCTGTCCACGGGGTCCTCCATGGGCGGGGCCGGAAGGGAGCCGGGCGCCACCAACGAGGCCCGGCTTCCTAGAGCGGCCGGAAGTGCCGAGGCCCGCGGCGGGGCGCCCTGGTCGGTGGAGTCCGGTCTTTGTTCCGGTGGCTGCGGGGGGCTGCCGTGGCGCTTGCGTCCCTACGCGCGTCAGGGTGAGTCGGCCGTGTCTCCTGGGCTGGGAAAGGGACGCGGGAGGGCTCCCTCGGCGTGGTCCCGCGCTTGTGCGGGGGGGACGGGATGAGAGCGGACGCCCGGGAAGCTGCGCCCCGCGGGCCGTGGAATCTGAGTGGTCACTCGGTGCTGACGGGTGCGTGCCGCTTGTCAGTCCCGTGAGAAACCCGAGGATCTCACAGGTGGTCTGAATGAGAGCCTGGTGTCAGACCGTGGCCCCGCTTCAGCGTTGGAAGACGGTCGGCTCGCTCTGGTACCTTCGTGAGTGTCCTGTCCACAGCAGCTTGGTCGTTTCTCTGCGGTAACAGGAGTCCAGCCCCAGAGAGGACTGTCCTCACGCAACCAGAATGGCCGCAACCCCGAAACCCGAAGAACAGGAAGGACTCGTGATGATCAAGCCCGAAGACCACTCCTGGGCACAGGACGCGATCCCCGCAAACTACAGCCCTCACAGGAGGGAGCTCTTCAGGCAGCACTTCAGGAAGCTGTGTTATCAGGACGCTCCCGGACCCCGCGAAGCCCTCTCCCAGCTCTGGGAGCTCTGCCGCCAGTGGCTGAGGCCGGAATACCACACCAAGGAGCAGATTTTAGACCTGCTGGTGTTGGAGCAGTTCCTGAGCATTCTTCCTCGGGACCTGCAAGCGTGGGTGCAGGCGCACCATCCGAAGACAGGAGAGGAGGCGGTCACCGTGCTGGAGGACCTGGAGAGGGAGCTGGAGGAACCGCGCAAGCAGGTGGGAAGGGGACACTCGGCTGTGAAAGAACATCTGAAGGTCTGTAGTAGGTTGTCCTAGCGAAGAGCAAGGCTTAGGGAGGGACCTAGCTGCCAGTGTCAAATAACTCAAGTGTGGCTGAGTAAAGACACAGGAAACGGGATTCAGAATCAGTTTGGAAGGCTGGGATCTGGGAGAAGTTACAGGAAGGCAGGTAGGCTTCAGAAGTAAACTAAGAGTTCTCCAACATTCATAGCTATCTATGTAAAAAATGGGCTACCTGGTAAAATACCTCATTTTTATTCCTTTTTTGTACTGTTTTTAAAAATTCAGTGTATGTTTTACACTTTACATATCTTCATTCCTTCTAACCACATTGCAAGAGCTCTGTAAGCACTTCATGCTTGAGGCTATCCTACTGGACAATGCAGTTAGAGAAGAAATGCCCCCATTGGGTGGCAGTTGGACTAGATAATTTTTAAGGTTCTTTCCAAGTCTGAAGACCGTGATCCTGAACCTGTGCCAATCTTTGTGAGACACTGAATTTCACTCTAGTGACCTGAGGTGTAGAGATGAGTTTCTGCCTCTACTTTTTTTAGTCATTATTACTTCTGCACTTCAATGAGAATTTTTCTCTTTTGTATTCCTGGTCCCTGGCAAATGCTTCTTTTGATCCTCTCTCTGAAATTCTTTTAAGTTCTTTCACAAAATCTGCCTTATAAGCCCAATCATACTTCATTGTTCCCAGCTCCCAGCCAATTCAGAAAGACAGGACACGCTTTTGGACAAGTTGACCCCCTTGGAAAGGCCCCATGAGTCACTGACTACCCAGCTCCGTCCCAAGAAGACTCAGCAGGAGCAGGAATCCGGGGAGCCCCAAAGGAATGGTAAGGAGAAGTTTATGTGTGAGGGAAGATGTGGTTCCTTGTGTTAGGAGCTTTCTCCCTTAATGTTCTCCATTGCCAAGTTTTCTTGCTAATCCTCCATCTCACTGTGGAAGATTTTATCCCCCCATTCTTACCACTGCCTCATCATGGAAAGAATTAAATTTTAGTTTTTCATTAGACTTAAAAGCTGCTTTTTGGCCCAATGGATGGGGGGATGGGATTTAAATACTTAATAATACATTTCTGTTTGCTATTGGATGATCCTAGTTCTAAATTCTCTTAAATTTAGATTTTGAGCAGGAGAATTTGACACCTTGTATTAGTCTATTAGAGCTACCAGAACAAAATACCACAAGCTGGGTGACTTACACAACAGAAGTTTATTTTCTCAGTTGTAGAGGCTGGAAAGTCCAAGATCAAGGTGTTAGCATGCTTGGTTTCTGGTGAGGCTTCTCCTTGACTCACAGACTTGCTGGGTCTTCACATGGTATTTATCTATTTATGAGAGAGGCAGAGACACAGAGGGAAAAACAGGCTCCATACAGGCAGCCCAACGTGGGACTCGATCCTCTGTCTCCAGGATCACACCCTGGGCTGCAGGCGGCGCCAAACCGCTGAGCCACCTGGGCTGTCCTCCTTAATTACTTGTTAAAGGCCTCTTTTCCAAATGCAGTCACACTGGTGACTTAGAGCTACAACACTAGGGGCAGGGGAAGGCTGGCATGAAAGCATAACATTCTAAGAATAGCAATTGCTCTGAGTTGATTTTGATAAAGAGAATTTTGAAAAATCAAAAGCCAGTAGGCAAGTAGCCAAAGGCAGATGCTCAGCCATGGTATTCCTGAATACCATGCTGAGGAAACAGAATTTCATCCTATCACAGGGATGTTTGTTACATTATTTTATTTAATGTAGGCTCCATGCTCCAACACCAACACAGGGCTTGAACTCAAAACATTGAGATCAAGACCTGAGCTGAAATCAAGGCAAATACTCAACCAACCATCCAGGTGCCCCCATTACATTATTTTACATAGAGATAGAGGAGTGGATGACAGATGGGTGTTTAACAATCACTATCCATGGGCAGCCTGGGTAGCTCAGCGGTTTAACGCCACCTTCAGCCCAGGGCCTGATCCTGGAGCCCCGCGATCGAGTCCCACGTCGGGCTCCCTGCATGGAGTGTGCTTCTCCCTCTGCCTGTCTCTGCCTTTCTCTCTCTGTGTCTCTCATGAATAAATAAATAAAATTTGAAAAAAAATCACTATCCATGATTCTACTTTTTTAAAGTTACAAAGAAAGATATTGGAAGGATATCTCCAAATGTAGACAAAGATTATTTGAAGGTAATGAAATCACAGGTGACTTATTCTTCTCTATTTTCCAAAGTCTGTAAGTAAATGAGGACACCGCTGTAAATAGAAAATAAATAAACACAAGGGGGTTGAGGGGAGACCACTTTGAAATATAGAAGATTATAGACCAGTGCTCGAATAAGGCTGGAAAGAGAAAATTCAAGAGATATTTGTTATTCATTTATTACTGAACAGGTCTGATTAGATACTGATGGTGGGGGGTATTTTAATAAAAATCCAAGTTTGTGACTTGGGCAACTTGCAGATAATGGTGTCAGTAATTTTTTTTTAATTTTTTTTTATTTATTTATGATAGGCACACAGTGAGAGAGAGAGAGAGGCAGAGACATAGGCAGAGGGAGAAGCAGGCTCCATGCACCGGGAGCCCGACGTGGGACTCGATCCCGGGTCTCCAGGATCGCGCCCTGGGCCAAAGGCAGGCGCTAAACCGCTACGCCACCCAGGGATCCCCTGGTGTCAGTAATTGATAGGAAAATCAGAAGGTGGGAATATCTTGTGTGTGAAAACAATGGATTCAGCTTTTATACATGTGAATTTGCTCTATCCCTAAAACATGCATCCAGTAGGCAATACAGATTAAAATATGGTTCTAGGGGATCCCTGGTGGCTCAGCGGTTTGGCACCTGCCTTTGGCCCAGGGCGCAATCCTGGAGTCCTGGGATCGAGTCCCGCGGTCAGGCTCCCGGCATGGAGCCTGCCTCTCCCTCCTCCTGTGTCTCTGCCTCTCTCTCTCTCTCTCTGTGTGTGTCTATCATTCATAAATAAATAAACGAATAAATATAAATCCTTAAAAATAGGGATCCCTGGGTGGCGCAGCGGTTTAGCGCCTGCCTTTGGCCCAGGGCGCAATCCTGGAGACTCAGGATCGAATCCCATGTCAGGCTCCCGGTGCATGAGCCTGCTTCTCCCTCTGCCTATGTCTCTGCCTCTCTCTCTCTCTGTGACTTTCATAAATAAATAAAAATTTAAAAAAAAAAAGTTAAAAAACTTTAAAAAAAATAAATAAATCCTTAAAAATATATATATAAACTTTAAAAAAAATATATGGCTCTAGGGGCACATGCGTGGCTCAGGCAGTTGAGCCTCTAATTCAGCTCAGGTCATGGTCCCAGGATCCTGGGATTGAGCCCTGCATTGGGAATGTGTCCATGCTCAGCAAGGGGGTTTGCTTCTCCCTCGACCCTTCCCCCTGCTTGTGCGCACGTTCTCTGTCAAATTAAAATCTTAAATATATATATATATATATATATATATATATATATATATATATATATATGGTTCTAGATATGGGAGAAAAATATAGAAGGAGATAAGAGGTTTGGGATTCCTCAGTGGGTACATGACAGAAGACATGGCTATAGGTGAAGTTTACCAAGAAGAATATATATATATAAAGTGAGGAGAAGAGAGACACCTGCAATCAAATAGGGATTGGGGGGTCTGCCTTCCTCTCAGGTCATGATCCCAGGACCAGACTCCATATCAGGCTCCCTGCTCAGTGAGGAGTCTCCTTCTCCCTCTGCCTGTCCCCCTCCTCATGGTCTTTTTTTTTTTTTTTTTAAGATTTTATTTATTCACGAGAGACACAGAGAGAAGCAGAGACATAGGCAGAGGGAGGAGAAACAGGCTCTGTGTAGAGAGCCTGATGTGGGACTCGATCCGGGGATTCCGGGATCACGCCTGAGCCAAAGGCAGATGCTCAACCACTGAGCCACCCAGGAGTCCCTCCCTTTCTTCAAATAAATAAAATCTTTTAAAAAAGAGCCATATGTAAATTTCTGAGGCATGCCACCATTTGAAGTTTGGGTGGATGAAGAGGATTCTGTAAAGATCAGGGACTGTCAGGTAATAGAAGCAGGAGAGGGTGGTGTCACTAAAGACACCAGGAATTCCAGCCAGCTATAGCCAATGCTACTAATAGGACACAGGATTAGGAACTGATAAACATCAACTCACTGAATTTGGCATTTAGAAGTTAATGGTAGTCAAAAATAGTTTCAGAAGGCAAAAGGTAAAAGATGCAGACTATTTTAATAAGCTTTAGTAAGCTTAACTATATGGAGTCTTCATCTTTTTTCTGTGAGCAGGCCTATTATAAGAAATTTCTCGGGCAGCCCCGGTGGTGCAGCGGTTTAGCGCCGCCTGCAGCCCAGGGCGTGATCCTGGAGACCCTGGATCGAGTCCCACGTCAGGCTCTCTGTGTATGATGCCTGCTTCTCCCTCTGCCTGTGTCTCTGCCTCTCTGTCTCTATGAATAAATAAATAAAATCTTTAAAAAAAAAAAAAAAAGAAAGAAAAATTTCTCTCCCTGCTTTTGGGAGGAGACAGGACATGCAGTCAGTCGTAAAATAGGTCACAATAGGGCACTTGGGTGGCTCAGTCAGTTAAATGTCTGCCTTAGGCTCAGGTCTTGAGCTCCATGTTGGGCTCCTGCTCAGCCAGGAGCCTGCTTTTCCCTCTCCCTCTGCCCCTCCCCCCCGTTCATGCTCTCTCAGGCTGTCTCTCAAGTAAATAAAATATTTTTTTAAAAAGGGGGAATCACAATAATATGTCAACATGCTAAATTCTATGTAGAACATACAATTATTGATTATGACTAATTGTGCAAAACTTTAAGTTCTAGATGGTCTTTCCTTGGTCTTTTTTAATATTTTTGGACTGGTTTCACTCTACAGCATGTTACAAATTCAGAAAAATACACAGTTCCTATACCTAAAATTGTAGAGGCTTTATGTGTTGCTATTATTTTTTTTTTAAGATTTTATTTCTTCATGAGAGACACACAGAGAGAGAGAGAGGGGCAGAAACACAGGCAGAGGGAGAAGCAGGCTCCATGCAGGGAGTCCAATGTGGGACTCAATCCTGGGTCTCCAGTATCACACCCTGGGCTGAAGACGGTGCTAAACCGCTGAGCCACCCGGGCTGCCCTGTGTTGCTATTAAAATAACTTTCCAAGGGAAAATATGAATTGTCTTTTTTTTTAAGATTTTATTTATTTAAAAAAAAGATTTTATTTATTCATTCATTCATTCATGGAGAAAGGGGGGGCGGGTGCAGAGGGAGAAGCAAGCGCCCTGCAGGGAGCCTGATGTGGGATTCAATCCCAGGATCCTGGGATCACAACCTGAGCCAAAGGCAGATGTTTAACCACTGAGCCACCCAGGCGTCCCTGAATTGTCTTTTCTTAATCTAATCTACTGAAAGGTGCTTCCTGAAATGTAGTTACCGTACGAGGCCTGAGAATTTTTAGGGAATACATTTGTCTGCATTGAACAGTATGAATATGACTTTTTCCCTAAGGTACAACACCAAGAGCCATACACAATTTTTATCTGTGTCACCACCATCAACACACCCCTTACCAAAACAACTGACAAGCAAAATACAAAACCCACCAAAACAATACAAAAACAAAACAAAACCCTGCAGAAATCATAACACATTTCAAGACGTGTCTCTCAATTTTATTAAAAGCATATTAATGTCTGGTCCAAATCCTCATTTTACATTTGAAGAAATACACCCACAGTGGTTGTGATTTAGTCTGTTTCCAAAGAGTAAAGGCAGAGCTAAGATTACAGTCAGAACCTGGGGCTCCTGCCTGCTGGTCCAGAACAATCATTAACAGCCATCAGGATAATGTACCAAAATTTAGTCACTTTCTTTCAAAAATAAATTTATCATTAAATAAACTTTTACACACTATATCTGGTTTAAAAATTTCATTTTATCCACACCAGTAAGGTATTATTTGTATTAGCTGTTGGCTAGGGTAATAGGACTCCTCTCTGTAAACAAAACTGGGAATTAAAACAGTAGTGCTCCCTTAATACAGAATTATCTTCATAGATAACAGAAAAACTTGGGAGAGCAGAGTATCTTAGAATTCTTTGTAGCACAAATGTGCTAATTTTTAATACTTTAAAGTATTTCAAAGGGAACTTTTTGGACATGCTACTCTCCACAACACTGATCCTCTATTACCAATAAATAGAAGTCTCCTTAACTCTGTTCCAGTTTCACTTCACTCAGCTTTTAACCTTGTCCTTGCTCCCCTAGACCGTGAAGCAAGTTGTACACAAGATTTTAGATCCAAATATTTTTCATTTTATCTGCTCTAAAAGGTCTCGAGGGGCACCTAGGTTGGCTCATTCAGTTAAGCATCCAGCTGTTGATTTCAGCTCAAGTCATGAGATCAAGCCCAGTATTGGGTTCCATGCTCAGCGAGTTGTCTACTTGAGATTCTCTCTCTCCCTCTGTCCCTCCTCCCACTTAAGCTCTCCCTTGCACTCGGCCCTCCTGCCCCGCCCCCCACCATCACACCATCCCCAAATAAGGAAATTTTTGAAAGAAGGTCTCCTGGAATCCTATTGGCCTGAGACTCTGAGACTAGCTGGCACTTAGATATATAAATAAAGCTCTGAAACTCCCAATTGACCAAGAAGTAGACTACAGGTCTCTGAGATGAGAAAACTTACTTTTGACAATTTCCATACAATATTATTCTGTACATTGTTCAATTGCAGATGTAAGGGAGAGGATTGTCATTTCAATTGCTGACCCATGAAAAACCAACCTTGTATTCAAAATAAGAAAGAAAATAGAAAGAAAGCCTTTTGAAGTCCTGGTGGGATTTTTCTCTAGATTTCTTCTGAAATTGTGGGGGAAGACTCATCCTGAGGACTAGTAGATTACACTGAAGATGGTGAACTGACCTTAGAATAAACCTTTTGTTTCTTTTTTTTTTTTTTAATATTCATCTTCAGTAAGCCACAGGAAAGCCAACCACTAGTGACAGCTATATATAAAAGAAGTGGTTGAACCAATATGATGATGTTTGAGAACGCTTTTCTTAATGGTATGAGAGTGTCTCTAATTTCCATGATTCGCTTGATCATTATTATCCTATTAACTCAGCAATACTGTTATACATTATACTTTCACAAACATTTTATCATACATTCCCTCATCTAATCAAACTATGGGTAAAAAGGAGGGCACAGAGGTGATAAGGAAACCAAAATAGGGATGCCTGGGTGGCTCAGCAGTTGAACGTCTGCCTTTCAGCTCAGGGCGTGATCCTAGGATCAAGTCCCACATCAGGCTCCCTGCGTGGAGCCTGCTTCTCCCTCTGCCTATGTCTCTGCCCCTCTCTTTCTCTCTCTCTCTCTCTCTCTCTCTCTCTCTCTCTCATGAATAGATAAATAAAATCTTTAAAAAAGAAAGAAACCAAAATAGTTGTCATCTGCCAAAATTTAAACAATCAGATAATTCCCAGACTGGAATCTAGACCTCCTGGTTCTAATTTAGTCTTTGTCATTTCTAGCCAAAGATAATATGGCATTTAGGTTCCAAAACAATGTCAACTTAGAGCAAATATCCAAACTGAGAAAGTCTACTGCCTGGTTTAAAAAAAAGGTCGTTAAGAAGGAACAGATTTGAAGACTGGTAGCAAGGAGATATGGTGATGACAGTGAAGGGCAGCGGACTTACGACATGGCAGTCAGTGAACCATGTAACCTAGTGTTTTCCACCCCAAGCCCAGGCATTGAAATATCTGGTAGCTCTTGCTGCTGCTTCCATCATGCCAAGTGACCACTGAAAGCAGTAACAGTAATTAAATGAACTGTTGCACAGTTAGGATTCCTAGATTTGTTGAAATGGTGGTCACAGCATGATGAAATAGGTGACACTTTCTATTCCCCCCCAAAATCATCAGAACAGCTATTTTCTCATAAAATTCATCTTAACAAATATTGAGTACTTGCTATCGTGTGCTATTTTGTGCTAAGCTTGGGGTTGAGGACATGGGGAGCAGGAAGAGGGAAAGAGCACATCCAATTTAGGAGATTAGAGAAGACTTCCTAGAAGAGAGAGCATTTGAGATGGACCTTGCATAATAGCTAGGCCTGTGGTTCTCAAAGTGTGTTCCCTGGACCAGCAGTATCTGTCACACCAGGAAACTTGTTAGAAATACAAATTCTTGGGGATCCCTGGGTGGCTCAACAGTTTGGCCCCTGCCTTCGGCCCAGGGTGTGATCCTGGAATCCCAGGATCGAGGCCCACATTGGGCTCCCTGCATGGAGCCTGCTTCTCCCTCTGCCTGTCTGCCTCTGTGTGTCTCATGAATAAATAAATAAAATCTTTTTTAAAAAATGTAAAAAAAAAAAAAAAAAAAAACAAATTCTTAACCCATACTCCATCTTTTTCAAATCAGAAGTTCTGGGGTCAGAAAGTGTGGCGTTCTGTTTTAATAAGTCATCCAAAGTGATTCTGATGCACAGTCAAGTTTGAGGGAACCACCATGCTAGGATTTGGATGGGAAGAGATGAGAGTGAGGAGATCAGTTTCAGGGGAAAAAAAAGGATTCAACCCAGCACACCAGACCATCCATTGTCACTTCCTGCTAATTTTCCTAACCTACATACTCTTGGTATGCTTTCAATTAATTACACATTCCCCTCCTTTGATGGTTCCCACTCACTACATTCCTTTTAGATTCCTAATCCCAGTCTTTTCCACTTTTACTCAGTTTTATTGCCACTTAATCACCTGTGTTTTAGGCCCCTGCATGTTTCTCCCAAACTTTTAACTCTGCCCCATCTCTATTCTGTAATCCCCATCGGTCCCTCTTAGTCCCTCACCATTCTGCCTTTGCAAGGGATTATAACCCCCTGATCCACATCATTGCCTTTTTCCTCTCTTCTTAGTCTGTTCCCAAATAATGTATCCTGCTGCTGTCTTCCCTACTGGCCTCTTAGTCTCTTCCTTATAATATCAATATATGTTTTGATGGTGCCAAATACCTAGTTTGTGCATTGTATGTGACTTTGTTTTGTTTTTAAATATTTTATTTATTCATGAGACACAGAAGGCAGAGACATAGGCAGAGAGAGAAGCAGGCTCCTCACAGGGAGCCCAATGTGGGACTTGATCCCAGAATCCCGGGATCACACCCTGAGCCGAAGGCAGACGTTCAACCACTGAGCCACTCACGCATCCCAACATTTTTTATAATACATTTATAACATTTATGTGTTCTTTCTTTCATAGGGTTTGCTTCTCAAACCTAGATTAGGACATGTTTGTGAACTCTTTGTTACAGGTAATAAAACCAGAATTAAGGATGAAGCTCTGTCCCAGAAGGAACATAGGCCCAAGGATACAGAATTCCTTGGGAAGATAAATGACAGACTTAACAAAGACATTCTTCAGCATCCTGAATCCAAAGATGCTACTGAAAGTGAAGGTAGATTAGAGTGGCAACAGAAGGAAAGAAGACGCTATGCATGTGATGACTGTGGGAAAAGTTTCAGTCACAGCTCAGACCTTAGTAAGCACAGGAGGACTCACACTGGAGAGAAGCCCTACAAATGCAATGAATGTGGAAAAGCGTTCATTCAACGCTCCCATCTTATTGGACACCACAGAGTACACACTGGAGTGAAACCCTATAAATGTGAAGAATGTGGGAAAGATTTTAGTGGGCGCACAGGTCTTATTCAGCATCAGAGAATCCACACAGGTGAAAAACCCTATGAATGTGATGAGTGTGGGAGGCCTTTCCGTGTAAGTTCAGCCCTGATCAGACATCAAAGAATTCATACCGCAAATAAGCTTTACTAAGATGGTGAAGTAACAGAAGTTCTTCAGCTACTCAGGTCTCCTTAGTTATCAAAGAATATGCCTTAGGAACTATGAGTATCCTGAATGTAGGCAATGATCCTTCAGTCATTAAACATTTCTCTGGCACCAGAGAATATACCTGAGGAAATTTCCTTTTATTTCTAAATTAGTTCAGTTTCTTAAGAAGCATTAAGGGTTATTTTGGAAACGTCTATTGACAGCCTGTTCACTTGCAGCCCCAAATTACCATGTTTCCTGGTTGAAAAATAGTGAATTCTATTTCTCAGCTTTCCTTTTCACTTGACATTCTGTGTATGACGTTAGGGAAAGCATTCACATTTTTCTCTGCCTTCATTTCTCCTTCTGTAGAGGACATAGTAGAGGCCTACCAGGTATGTTGTATTAAGTTAAAGCTTCTTTTGACGTTAAAAACTAAAACAAGGGCAGCCCGGGTGGCTCAGCGGTTTAGCGCCGCCTTCAGTCCAGGGCCTGATCCTGGAGTCCCCGGATCAAGTCCCACAAGGAGCTCCCTCATGGAGCCTGCTTCTCCCTCTGCCTGTGTCTCTGCCCTCTCTCTCTCTCTCTCTCTCTCTCTCTCTCTCTCTCTCTCTCTCTGTCTCTCATGAATAAATAAATAAAATCTTAAAAAAAAAACTAAACTAAACTAAAACAATACTAAGTATTTGTTTTCCATCACTACTGATATAATGACCTAAATATTAATCCCCTTTTTATCTTAAAGTAGGGGGTATAATCATTTTTGCAGAATTTGTTTGCCTACACTAAAAAAGAGGAAACCATCAGGGACACCTGGGTGGCTCAGCAGTTGAGCGACTGCCTTTGGCTCAGGGCGTGATCCCAGAGTCCCAGGATCGAGTCCTGTATCGGACTCCCTGCATGGAGCCTGCTTCTCCCTCTGCCTATGTCTCTGCCTCTGTGTGTTTCATGAATAAATAAATGAAATCTTTAAAAAGAGGAAACTATCAGAAAACACAGCAGGACAAGGAAAACGTTCAAGTGGAAAGGAAAGCCTAAGTGATTAGTAGGAGCTGCTGGGACTGGGGATGACAGTAATGAGGATAAGTCACTTTTCTGAGACTCAGGTTCCTCTAAACAGAGAGACATGGGGAGGGATTGGTCCAGAACTGCATTGTCCAGTGGAGTAGCCAGTGCCCACACATGGCTGTATAAATTTAAAATTAAATTCACTCAAAGTAGAGAATTCTGTTCCTTAGTGATATTACAGGTCCTCAGCAGCTACATGCAGCTAGCAGCTATTGAACTAAGCAGCACAAATGCACATTTTTATCATTGGGACATTGCTGTCCTAATCGAACAGTAATGCGTCATCCAATTTAGGTATTGTGTAATTCTGAGTTCAGGAAGGTAGTAAAAGAGACACATGAAGAGACTGTAGTAGCAACAGGAGATAAAATATAAACACTCTAAAAAAGGAATTTAGTAATAACTTTATAGCACTTTTAATTTTAAAAAAAAGTGTATTGTAATTGGATGATTGAAGATTATTAAAGTAAATACAATAACCTAATCTAAATTGAAAGCTTTAGAAAAGCTCTCTGAGTGGTTCAGCGGTTTGGCGCCTGCCTTTGGCCTAGGAAGTGACTCTGGAGTCCCGGGATTGAGTTCCATGTCAGGCCTCTTGCATGGAGCCTGCTTCTCCCTCTGCCTGTGTGTCTCTGCCTCTCTCTCTCTCTCTCTCTCTCTCTCTTCTCTCTCTCATGAATAAATAAATAAATAAATAAAATATTTTTAAAAAATAAATTGAGAGCTTTAATTACCCATCAGATACCTATGCTGATAAGAAACTGGCACTCTCAGTTTATTATCTCAATCCAATTTTTTCTTTTTGGCTTGGAAATGTATTAGCAGTTCATGTACTTGCAACAGTTTTACATTCCTAGTTTGAGAATATCATAACATGACAAAAATTGTGCCCAGAGGCCCAGCACATCAAACCACCATGAATCAATGGTTCTAGGAATTAGCCATCCCCAGAACAAGCAGGAAGGGATCTAATCTCTTCCTGAAGACAAGAATTACACACACTTGATTCTGTATTGTGACTAAGTAACCACCTGTCATTTCTGTCTCCACTACTACTGGAATATGAATCTTAAGTCACTCCTTGTAACACCATAAACTGAACCTTTATATCTTTTGAACGTAATGCTGCTTTTAAAAAAATGTAAATTTACTTTGTCTGCATCAACTGGTAGAAAATTTTAAACCATCAAGTCTCATACTTGTTTTTATGACTTAGAAGTACCTGAGCATGGGATCCCTGGGTGGCTCAGCGGCTTAGCGCCTGCCTTTGGCCCAGGGCGCGATCCTGGAGTCCCGGGATCAAGTCCCGCATCGGGCTCCCTGCATGGAGCCTGCTTCTCCCTCTGCCTGTGTCTCTGCCTCTCTCTCTTTATGTCTATCATGAATAAATAAATAAAATCATAAAAATAAATAAAACTATGCAACATCTTTATAAAAAAAGAAAAAAGAACCTGAGCAGTATTTCAAAGCATCTGAAACAAAGGATTTTTAATGGTCCTGAAGAGAAAAGTAAAGTATTAAATCTTTAGTATTAGAAATATCCCTATTTTAAAAATAAAGCTAGATGCTGAATGATAGCTTTTCCCCCTTTATCTTTTGTTTTGCTGAAAAACAAGACAGAAGCTGTTGGCAATCTCTGTAAATGAGAAGCAAAGGTACAGGGGATCCCTGGGTGGCTCAGCGGTTTAGCGCCTGCCTTTGGCTCAGGGCGTGATCCTGGAGTCCCGGGATCGAGCACCCGGCATGGAGCCTGCGTCTTTCTCTGCCTGCCCTCTCTCTCTCTCTTTCATGAATAAATAAAATCTTTAAAAAAAAGAGAGAGAGAGAAAGAGAAGCAAGGGTACAGGTGAAAGAACGAAAATAATCTCATCAGGCATCAATCACATTTGAGACTGGGTCACAGGATACAAGCCATACAAAGGAGAACAGATGAACTCCTTATCCCAAGGTACAGAGTCTTATAAGCACAGCATGTATTATTTCTCTATCCAACAAGTCTCCATTCTCACCCTGACCATAACATTATTTGTTTATAATCAAAAAGCCCATCAACAATGAAAACTAGAAACCTTGACACACTTCAACAAAACAAGCTGTTCTCCTGATCCCATAAGGAAGTCATATTGAAGTTCTGAAGGAACAGCTAGCTCAGTCTTCCTCAAATCCTCTAGAGCAAGTTTTCTCCATCTTGATTCTGTTGACATTTTCAGCCAGACCTAGTTCCTTGTACTGTCTTGTCCCCTGCATTGTAGGGCATTTAACGGTATTCTTGGCTTCCAACCACTAGATGCTACTACACCAACTATAAGCAAGCATTTTTAAGGTGGATCAAATGCCCCCTTGAGGGGCAAAGTCGCCCCCAGTTGAGAACAACTTATCTGTAGAAAAATAATCTGATTTCTGACTGTTCCTTATATACAGTAAGATTCGACTTACAGATGGTACATTTAACCAGCATTGCTTAGACCCTCTTCCTACCCCAAAAAATGATTACCGGAGTACCTAAACTAACAACAATCATGCTGAAGAATTCATCTGCTTTAGGAAGCCATACCTCACTGTTGAAGACCAGGGGAATCTGCCCTCAAGACTCTCCTCTTCCCTCCCTGGCATACTTGTGGTGCCACCCTCTCATTTGACCCCTGACCCAACCAAGAACAAAAACTTTTCATTGAGATCTGCACTGTCCACTATAGTAGCCACCAGGTACACATGGCTATGAAACTGAGGAACTACAATTTTAATTTCACTTAATTTTAATTAAATTTAAAAACATAATTCAATTATTGGAAAACCTTTATGTTTGGTGTAGTTTGGGTATGTGAATCTACTTTTAACATTTTAAATTTTGTATAATCTCAATATAGATTAAGTATTTTCAGTGAAAATTTAATATCTGAATTGAGATGTGCAATAAGTAGAAAAATATAGCATAAAAATGAATGGAAGATATTTCATTAATTTTTATATTGATTGGATATTAATATTTTGAATATACTAGTTTAAATAAAATATATTATTAGTTTTACCTGTCTTTTTACTTTCTTAATGTGGCTACTAGAAAACCTCATAGGTGGATCACATTATATTCCTATTTATTGGACAGCCTAATCAAGATCTTCTCTACCTCCCATTCTCTATGTTTCAAACCACTTTAATTCTGTGAGACTAAGTTCTATGATGCCAAGGACTGTTTACCTATTTCTTCTTATTGATTTGTTCAACAAGTATTGAGCACATACTGTGTGCTATAGGAGACAAGGACGGGCTGCCTCAAAATGAGGTACCACTATAGCATAAGTTACTGAAAAGACAGCTGGTGCAAGGACACTCCTCCCCTCTTCTGTCCCCATGAAAGCAGAAAATAAATCTCCCATGTGAAAGGTACCAGGAGGTAAGGATACATCCTTAGCTCCAGAGATGGGAAATTTAGAGCCCAGAAGGCTGTATAGATACCCCTTGTTACTGTTTACTAATTTACTTCCCCAGCCCAAATTCTGTTTAAAATTCCTTACTGATTGAAGCTCCCAAAGTTAAGTTTTCTCTGTCCTCTCAATTCCTTACAGGTATATTGTCTCTTTGTCTAAAAAGTCTAAAAACTTTTAAAGACAAGAAATAACAATTGTTGATGAGGATGTGGAGAAAGAGACCTTGTGCACTGTTGGTGGGAAAGTAAAGTGGTGCAACCACTGTATGACAGTCCTCAAAAAAACTAAAAAGTATATGATCCTGCAATTCCACTTCTGGGTATTTATCCAAAGAAAATAAAAGCAATAATAAAGATACACGTGCCCCCATGTTCACCGCAGCATTATTTATGACAGGTAAGATACGGAAACAGCCTAAGTGTCCACTGATGGATGCATGGATAAAGAAATTGTGGTATACACGTACAATAGAGTATTACTACTGGTGGTGCCTCATGGTGCTTTGACAGGCAGGCATACCCTACAGAGAGGGGAGCCGAGAAGACGTGGTGCGCAAACACAACGGCAGACACAGCTATGCGTCCCGCTGGGGCACCGCACAGCTCCCCGCCTAGCCCCGGAGACCCCAAGGCCCCGGAAGAAGGC